GGGATTCATGTATTATATGGTATAAGCGTGTGTCGATTTTTGGAGGTGCGGTGGCTGCAATAGAGTCCATGAATATTGTTTCAGTGAGTTGTGTCAAGAAAGTGAGCTTTGAGCAATCAAAATTCCCGGCTTGCTCACACATGCGCCGCCTTATGGAGACATCGGGCACTACAGTCACTTGAGCTCTTCGTGGTCGTCTGGCGACGCTCATTAGCCCCACTGCTTCTTCGGCAGCCGACTGATACACTGTCTCTCTTCTTGATCGCCACTTTACAGCTGTTATATTACTTTTACTGTATCAGCCTAAAGCTGACCTTGCTGTATTAAGTGTTTAAAATACATTGTGAGATTAAATCTTTTGTGCCTTTTCCTTCGCGAGTGCCTACCGTCATCTCCGAGCCCACTACTCTGACAAGTTGCTTCACTGGTATTAGCTGATAACTTGGTGGGTTTTGTGCAGTGGCATTCTCTCCGTTGCCTGAGTTCTCGCCGTCGGGCGGCGATCTCGCCAGATGAATCAGCAGGTTCGTAAATGAACTCCAGATTGTTTCTAGAATGTGAATTGACCATTCACAAATGCTGTGTAAAGCGTAATCGTGAATAATTTTGTCTAGAATAAATTTAATGGTCCGAAAAATCATTACAATAGTGATAATTATCACTTTTAAAAGCGGCACTTTCTGAGCCGAAAGAAATGAATTTTTGCCACATTTTATTCCAAGTATTTTCCTCGAGTGTTTGTTAAGTGTTTTCGTCAAAGATATGTAAGAGTGAAAATTGTTGTGCAAGTCTTGTTTCTCCTATTATCCTTGCTGCTACTTGATTAAGTACCGCTGAGCGTTCGGGAGGAAACATGATGTAGGTTTTTAATTTTATATTTCTATGTCGCTGTAAGAATAAATACCGCTATTTGCGAAGTCGAGGGGACTGGAGTATTTTCAAGTTTGATTGGTATCTGATCTTAGTAACTGTGGGTCATCTTGGTTTGTAACTTGTGGTAACATTTTGTACCATCGTGATCCGAAATTAAACATTACGTGGAGTACTGTATCGCATCCTGTTTTAGTACCGTATTCTTTAAGTACGTGTGTGCGTGGCGCCAAAAAATACGGGTTTTCATTTTAAAACACTGGCAACTCTTGATAGCATGCGTCGGTTTCTCTTATGCGCTCTTCTACTTGTACACACTTAATAATATGCGCTACCTCCCTAGCCAAAAAACCGATGTCACCTGGGCCACACATAAGTTGATAAGAGAAATTATCTGGTGAAATGGTAGCAATATTGAGTGCATTTCCGATTACTTTTCTCTCTCATTCGCATTGTTTTAACAGTACGTCTCGGTAAAGTTCCTTCATTTGTTTTCTGAAGTATTTTTCTATAAAGATAAATTTGGAATTTACGGATGTAAACATATCTATGTTGTTAATATCGACGTTTTTTCTGCTGAAAAGTTCTGCTTCTCGGGGTCAGTCAGTAAAAATGTTTTTGAGTGCTCTGTTTTAATAAGCGCCAAAGAGCATGTGTTTACAGTGCCCATGTGTTTGAATGAGTACGACACATGATCTGATTCGAGTACATACAGTAATTTGAACTTATTTTCTCTTTTGAGTACCCTGTTTACGTATCCTGTAAAAAGATTTGTGTAGCGATTACGGTCCCATAAGTCAATAGGGATTACATTCCAAAATGCGTATCCGTAAACGCTATCGATGCAGTGATCGTCCGCAAAGATACATGACGTTCCCGATTCGAATCTTATTTTATTATTGTTTAAATCTATAGCATTGTAACGCTCTTCTAAAGTGATAGTGGCGTAACCCTGTACGAATACTTTTTCATGTTCTCCGTATGCGTCTGTATATGATCCTGCGTTTTCACAGGTGCCGTTAGCGCCTACAAAGCCTGCTAATTTAACGAAAAATGTCTTCGCGTTGTTAATGGGGATGTCTTGTATTATGTTGTCGTACAAAGTTATACTTTTGTGTAAATGCATTCTATTGCATTGATATCGTGTTATTGCTCTGAGGTATTCCATTTTCCCGTTTTTTATTGCTGAATTATGCGACCACATGCCGCAGTGTTGTATTGTTCTCTTAAGCTGGATTTTGCAATAAATGGCACGTGTGAAAGCATAGTCGTTTAATTGGATGAGCGACGCGTGTACTCTAGTTGAATTTATGACCGGTTCAAGAATGACGCATTCTCCTATATTGACTAGAGAGAAAGTTGTAAAAGTAGCGAAAGATTGGCCGCAGTTGAATTTGCAATGAGCTATTATTACAAAATACTTTTTCTTATTATCAATTATGTCACAGTGCTCAGTGACCCCTTTTTTTTTTTTTTTGTTACAAACTCAAATACATTATGGGAAGTCTAACTTTGTCTGAAATTACTTTAAAAAAAATTTTCATTTCAATTGTGTATAATTTAAAAAAAAAAAAATTTATTTTGCCTAGCCCTGACCACGGTGAAAAAGATGCCATCCACTTCGAGTCCAGGTCCCGACCACGTCGTGGCTCTGTGCAAAAATGTCCACTGCTCTCGTTGTTCCTGAGAATGCCTCGGCGGTGAAGAAACTCCCTACACTCTTTTTGTTCCTGAGCTTGTTGGGTCAGTGTAAGGATGTCTGCCACACGTTCTATTTTTAAACATATTACGGGAGTGCAGAATAATAACACGCCATCGATGCGCCATTGTCCCAAGTCCTCTAGCAGTATTGCTAAAATGCAGATTCTTGTAGGTGTTTGTTAAGTCTTACGACAGTAGTACATTACGTCACTACGGTACAAAGACAAACGTGGTTGTTGTACGTTTGTGTCCGAGTCACACTTATTATTTTTCTTACGGAGGGTGCAAAGTGCTATTTAGCGCCCGTGCTGATGAGCACATAGTGTGTTTAACAGCCAAAAGTGGTAGTTGCCCTTTGTGCCGATAGGGAGAAAAACTTTGAACAAGATGTGTTTTTGTAAAGTTTTTTAAATGTTTTAGTAAAATTTAAATTAGTGACTGACTAATCAGAGTATTGGTAAAGTCTTGAAAATATCTTGCTATAATTTCAACAATGTATAACTAATAATGTCTTACGTATGAATTTTAAATAAAGGCAGAAATAAAGAAAAAAATTCAAATCTTGAACTTAATATTGTCTCATAAATGACTGTTTAAAGTTCAATTGTAAACTAATTTTTTTTTCTTTGGCCAAATGCATACAAATGTTGTATACATATATAACTACTTGAACAGCAAAGTGTGATGTTTATTCATTTAAGACATGCAAAAGAAGTTGAGTATCACAGGTAATCTTTAAAATAAAATAATAGTTAAGTCTTAGAAAAGTCTTTCCGGAATCTTAGTAAAGTCTTATAAAAATCTCAATAAGTCATTAGGGACATCCCACCTGAAAAAAATGTCGGAATTCTATGTAGAATTACTTCTGTAATACTTTCAGAGAAGCCATATGGCATTACATAAAGGGTTTTAGCTTGGTGATGCCGTATGTAATTCCATATGGAAAAACATATGGAATTACTAATTGGAAATAGAAAAAATTTCTATCATATAGAAATAACTGCAAAATACCATAATAAGTTATTTGCAGTTAACATGTGGTTTTACCATCGGGATGATAACTCCAAAACAAGGGAGTTCAGCTGATTTTACTTCTATATACAAAAATTTAATTTATCAATTTTTTTTTATTCCTGAAATATTACTTGAATCCCCTTGTTTTCGAGTTATCATCGAGATGGAAACACTACTTGTTCACAGTAAGTGACGCATTACAGTATTCTGCAGTTATTTCTAGATGGCAAAATTTTTTTCCTTCTTCCAATTTGTAATTCTATGTGTTTTTTCAAATAGAATTACATATGGCATTACCAAGCTAAAACCCCTTATGTAATGCAATACGTAAAAATATTTGTCATGCAACATGGCTTTTCTAAAAGTGTTACAAAAGTAGTACCACATGAAATTCCGTCTTTCTTTTTCAGGTGGGATTACACAAGCGTCTCGGTAAAATACCTATAAGCTTTGTAGAAGTCCTGATCAAATACAACATAAATCAAGACAAATGGTCTCATGAGAGTATTGATATAATACTGATAGTTTCGCGACCGTTTTTCCACTTAGAATTTTGTAAAGAGGATCAGCACAGTTTAAGGCTGCAGTCACATGGAGCACAATAGAGCGAGCAGGATAGAATTGTCTCCATAAGCGGCTGTGTTAAGTCTATTGCGCTGCAGGATATCCCTATTCCGCGGCGCAATAGACTTAACACAGCCGCTTATGGGGACAATTCTATCCTGCTCGCTCTATTGCGCTCCATGTGATTGCAGCCTAAGAAAGCTTTAAATCCTTCTTCTTTTTGAACAGTATTTAATAGACCAAGAGTTGAAGCTGAAGGGTGGTCAAAGTTTTAACCAGCCGCTACTTTCACCAGAATCGAGGACTTTTATGATTCGTAGAGATCCGAAATATTCAAATCATATTTCATTTTGGTAAGAGTATTGTTGGTATTTAAGAATTGCCATATAGTTTTTTTATAAGTCAGCTGCAACTTAAATCACTAGAGAGAAAATCAAAAGTTTTTAAATGAATGTGCCATTCGCGGCAAGACAAGAGAGCATCTCGTGCCCGAAAATCCACCTTCAAAAAAATAGACCCCCTACCCAATCTTATCTATAATACTCATGTAAGATAACAGATAAGGCATTATAGATAACATTGTAGATAAGAATACAATATCTTTATTTTTGGAGGTCGATTTTTTGGTACAAGATGCATTCTAATCTTGCCGTAAATGGCACTATTATTGATCAACTTTTTATTTTCTATCCATTGGTGTAAGTTGCGTCTGGTTAATAAAAAAAGACCATACGGCATTACTGTAATTACCACATAACTCTTTACCACAACAAAATATGACTGAAATCTTTCAGATCTCTACGAATCATAAAGTTCCTCAATTTTGGTGAGAGTGGCGGCTGGTTAAAATTTTGACCACCCTTCGGCTTTAGCTCTTGGTCTAGACTCTAGACATGAATCCATAGAAATATTACCAATATCTCTATGTATGACACTGATCATATCTGTATGAGGTGAGAATGTTGAGTACTAAAAAAAAATGTACGAGGAGTCTTGAAGCTGCAAGTATGGAAATTAATCACAGAAAAGTCAACATAAGTAGTGATGATTCTACACAAACAACATCATGCACAGTTGAATCATTTTCTGCTGAACGAATTCCTGATAAAAGCAGTGAAATAAAGCAACGTTTGAATGATTTTGATAGTAATAATATTTTAATTTTTTGACTATATTTCTAAACTTATAATGATATATATCAAATACATAACAATTTATTTTATATTTATTTACTGACTTGCTATAAATTTTTTATTCTTTCAGTTTCAAATAAAAGCGGTGAAACAACCATGACTGTAAGGAATCTTAATACCCAAGCAAATTTCAAAAAACCTTTATTTGTTAAAATGCCAGAACATCCCATCAAAATCAAAACTTTTGTGCAAGGCTGCATACCTTCAGTATTATCAGATTCTGAAAGTACGCCAAATGAAAAATTAAACAACTCATCTTTTAAACGAAAGTCTACAAGTTCAAAGCCTACAGAAAAATCTGTTGATGATAAAACTGTATATGTAGAACCTTTGTGGAGTGGTATACCAAATGATATCTATAAAATGGAAGTTTTAAAATCTGGTGTTATCTTAGAGACTATCGATTTGTCATTAAAAAATTATCATGTTGTTGGACGTTCACCATTCTGTGATATTTCTATGGCACATCCAACAATATCTCGATTTCATGCAGTTCTACAATACAGAGCCGTTAGTGATGAAGAAAACGATAAAGGAATGTACATTTTTGATTTGAATAGTACCCATGGAACTTTTTGGAATGGGCATCGGATCAATTCAAAAGTCTTTGTGCGACTTCAAGGTGGTCATATGATTCGATTTGGCTGCAGCCAAAGAAAATTTATTTTGCAAGCTCCATTGTGTGATCAAGAACCTGAGTCAAAATTTTCTATTACAGAACTCAGAAGGATTAGGAAAGAAAAATTAAAACAAAAAAAAATGTTGAAAAATCAAAATGTAAGTGAAGCTGAAGAGACAGAAAAGTTACTTAAAGACGAACTTAATGGAATTAATTGGGGAATGAAAGAAGATGCTGATGAAGAAAACGATATGACAGAGAATCCGTATGCACAAACACATAATGAAGAGTTGTTTTTAGATGATCCAAAAAAAACTTTACGAGGCTGGTTTGAACGAGAAGGTTACGATTTGCAATATCAAACAGCAGAAAAAGGCATGAGACGATTCTTATGCTGGGTTGAGTATGTATATTTTGAAGTCTTGCTATATCTATGAAATAAGAAACTTGATCTTTTATCTTCTTTATTTCCAAGCATTAGTGATCCTGTAAAAATCATCAGAATAAGTGTCACTTTTTTTTTTGGCTGTCATGTTCATCTATCAAGGGCAGAACTAATTACAGAAAGGAATCGAGAAACTATTGATCATTAAAAACGGTGTATTACAACGAAAAATTAATGACGCTATATATAAATAGAGAGGGTTCGAAATATATACATCCATAGAGTCCTTAATTTTCTTGATAAACATGGCGGACTGCTTTTACAGGATCACTAGCTAGTTCCCGATTGGAAATTAAAAATGAGCGACAGCTTGGCCCAAGTCAAGATGCCCAATTTTAGTCAAGGTGGGGACAAGTCTGTCCTTGCAATGGGGCGCAGACGTAGGCACAAGCTTCTCCCCAACCACCGCCCGGTACTCGCACTTCCATGCCATAATGAAATACTGAACTTCAAAAACGTTAAATTGTGTTAAATGTTGTCAACTTTACTTGACGCATTGTTTTATACCGATATGTTGATCCCTTCAATGAGATAATCGATCATTTAGAGTCGAATTTTCAATTCCGACCCATGTCAGCAACTCAATTTCACTCATAAAAACTTTCATCGGATAAAAAATAAGACTTATCTGCCACTTGGGTTATCTAGTAAGCATTATATACTTTAGCTATAGGATTTGTACCTTAGCTCCATCAAAAATTGATAAAGACGAGTGCTAACCAATGGTCACTTTTTAAAGTATAGGACTAAAATTAACATATCCTCACGACAGTAGTACCAGAAGTTGTTACCTCTCGAATGGCCAAGCTTTTTTATTTGCGTACTTCGTGTGTACAAACATTTTATTCCATTCCGTCCCCCATGGAACAACCACTCAGTGTACGTGTGCAGATACACAAACTACAGTTTTTTATTGCATTTGAGGCTAGTAAACTAAGTATGGGTGGACAATTCATTCTAATACGCCCATGAGTCATACTAGCACTATAAACTTTAAAAATTCTATTCCAACCCTACCTCTCCTCAAAGTGCCGTTTTTTTTTCGTTGAAGAGCAATCAATTTCAGCCAAACTTTTTTTCATCACTGTTCGGCTAAAAGATAAGACACGTGTCTCGAAGTTTCTTCCAATTGGCCTCTTTTCGCTACATAAATGCAAAAATGGTGGTGCTACTTCCAACGTTGGTAGCCAAGTGGTGCACTCCATTAGGTGGCTTTATCTGGGCTTAAATGAAAGCAAAAACATAGTCGTAATGATTAAAACACAAATCTTTGAATTTTATGTTCCGAATGAAATGTTATAGTGATTTTTTTTTTAAATACTGAATTTTAGCCAAAATCACATTATTAGCGATATTTACGCTCTAATTAAAACAGCTGTAACTTTTGAATGGAGGCACAAAGTAGAACAAAATTTTTTTTTTTATCGATTGGTCTTGACTCCAAATTTTATTTAAGCCTAGTAAGAACACTCGAACTGTTGAAGGAGCTTAGCTACACGTGTTAGAAAGAGATACAATTATTCAAAAATCGATGAAAACTGACTTTTATAAAATTTCGTATAACTTTTGACTAATTAATCTTGTAGTTGCATCCCTTTAGATAATTGTTACTAATGTTGTGTACAGTAGAAATACCATAAAAAAATTTTTTTTGAACCATCTTCTTTTTGAACAATTTTTAAGTCGATCTCAGCAAGTTACGACAGAATTACCCATATATAGTTGTACTTGCAACAAACCTTATGCACGTGAGTACACTTATAAATCACAAGTAAATCTTAATTAGAAATATATTAACATATTTTAACCAAGTTTTTATTTATTTAGGCTGTATTCCACAAATGCTGCCAGCAGTTATGTTACGTAGGTCGCGGTAATGCCGCATGGTCGGTCGGTGCTACTGTCAACCTGTACTCTCTGGGGTGGCGATCGCAATAGGACAGTATGAGTAGAATAACTTTTTTTTCAAACTAATTACTAATAGTGATTTTATTATTGAGTTACTTGAAAGTAACATAATTCTTTTTTTTCGATTAGAGTACAATTTAATAAAATCTTCTTTAGCTCTAATTGCGAAAAAAGCGAAATAAGTTGCAAGATTGTATACTTCAAAATTGGGACCAATAAAGTAAAATTATTGATCTACAAACAAAAAAAATTAAAAAAGCCAAGTATAGACATGAATTTCATAAAACTTTTGAGTTGCAGCGCAGCTGCCACAAAAAATGTGATAATCTGTCAAAACTGGTTTTTTGCGATTTTCTGAAAAAGTATTTCAATATTAAAAAACCACAATAAATAAACAAACAAAGTAGATTTAAACTTTTTACACACCGCTGTAAAAAAATTTGTAACTAACACAAAGACATTTTTCAAACGCTTAATGAGTGCAAGTACCGAAAATATTTTAAAAAAACAATGAGTTTCTGACAGTGGTGTAGTGGCGCGGTGCTGCCCATTCGGTCGATAAAGGCAAAATTCCACTACAATCGGCTCGAAAATTTTTTGAACTCTTTGTCGCCTTCGTGTTGATCGTAGGCCAACTTTTATTAGCAAAGTCATTGTTACCAGGCAGTGCTATGAACGTTTTGTATGCAAACGTTTTTTCCCCAAAATATTAATAAGAGTTTCTCTACAAAACACAATTTAGCCGACATTAGTGGAATCGAGCAAATAGCGGCCGAATAGGCGGCGCCGCACCGCCAAATCGCCGTCAGAAACTCAATGCGTTTGTAACTAATATTTTCGGTATTTGCACTCATTCGAATTTAATCAAACTTTGACGTATTGTAGAGTAACTCTAGACGAATAAAATCTAGTTTGAAAAATTTCTCTACGTTGGCTACAAACTTTTTTATAGCAGTTTTTTGGAAGAACCTTTTTTTGGTTTTCGCTGTGGTGTGCAAAAAGTTTAAATCTAGTCAAGTTGAAATTTGGTGTGGATGTTAAAGGCTGAAATACCTACCTTAAATCAAAATAGTAGCTCTAAATATTATAATGAACAAAAGTTTATAAATTTCAAAAACTGGCCAATAATACGGTTTTTTTGCAATTTGCGCATAACCTAGTGAATCGATTGGGATTTACCAAAACTAATTATGTTTGTTTTTTTATTGCGGTTTTTTAGTGTCATAACTTTTTTTGTCGTCAAACGCCTGGTTCTCCGGTAAATCGCAAAAAACCAATTTTGACAGATTTTGACATTTTTTTTGACAGCCGCGCAGCAACTCAATAGTTGTACAAAATTAGTATGTTTATACTAACGCAAAGATCTATCAAAAAAAATTTTTTAATTGTTGGTATCAGTTTTCCGTATTTGAGCCCCTTGATCGGCTAATTCTGCCAGACTAGATGTATTTATTGTAAAATCAAATACTTATGTTAAATAACTCATTTTTCATAGAAAAAGGATATACAATTGTTTTTAATATAATGGAGTTAACAAGTAAACGATAAGGCATTTTATATATACATATGTATGTGTATTAAAGAAAATAAAAGCTTCTTAAAATCCTTGACGGCTTTTACAACTAACACATTTTTTAAAATTATTATTCATCATCGTCCTAAGGCTCAGGCATGGCTTTTTTTACACAAAAATAGTGTTTTTCAGCCGGAAAATATTTCACAAAAAATTTTATTTATGATACAAAAACGTGCTTATCGTTTAATTTACCTATCTCGAAGAATAGTAACTGACACTGAAGTAATAACACTAAAGAATTTGCATTTTGTAAACACATAATTAATTCGCTGTATCTTCAGTTGAATGATAAAAAAATATTTTTAAAATTATGACACCAAACTAACAATATTTTTTCTGTATTCATTAATTTGGAAGACCGAAAAAATTTTTTCACACTGGACATTAATTAATTCATCGCCTTATTTCCCAAGGTAAACAATTTTTATCAAGAGCTCTGACTAGCATCCTGTTGGTATTTGTTTTATATTTAATAAAAAAAAAAAAAAATACAAAGAGGCTAATATCCTACAGTATCGGTATCGAATCAGCCGATAACGTTCGAAAAAATAAAAAAAGTAAGGGCAACAGATCTTTAGCTGTTGCTCGAGTATGCGAGCGTTACCTTGCCAACGAAAAAAAAACACTTCTTCTCGCACCGTCTTCTTGACCGGTTTGCAGTTCGCTCGTTGACGTAACCTTCAATTCATACATTTTTTTCACGCTTTGACCTACCATCAACAAGCATGCAGCACCCACGATTCCTTTCTTTGGCTTTTGAGGTTGCCATCGACGAGGACGCTTTTCTGCGGCTGTTCTTCCCGCCTTTGCTGGTTTTTTTTTACAGCCGTACTTTTTTGTAAACAAGTTCTTCAAGATAAAAAGGGAAGCAAGATACGACAGACACAGCAAAAAGGGTAATACGCAAATATTAAAAAAAATAAATACAAGTTCACGAGTTCAAAATTATAGAACAACAGTTCTCACGAGAATTTGCGCTTGCACATTTCATGAGGGCGATGGCCCGAATTGGAGCCTTTGGCTCAGCCGAACATCCAGGTTGGATCCTCCTGGGTTAAACGTTTCATTTTTCCTAATCAAATAGGAACACGAGTTTTTATTTCAAAATACACGAGTTTTACATGATCTTTTAGTATTAATACTCTCACTCTCTTCATAACCTTATTTTTATGTTTTCCTTTTCAAACGTGCTCATAAGTAAACAATTGTCAGGCTTTTTTATTTTGCCGTGGTGATCTGGCACATATTTTTCATTGTAAATACATTGTAAAGTTAAGTTGTTTGTTTTTATCATTTGTTTGTATATGTTATTTTGTGAAAAGAAAAATTCGAGTCGTGATTTAATATTTAAAAATTAATCAAAGAAAATATACTAAAAACTTACCCAAGGAATTATCCAGGTTCTCTAAAAAACGAGAAGTTGCGAGTCATTAATTCGGTACTGTTTTCAAATGAAATGTCCAATCATAGAACCTTTTGTTTACCTTTGGACTTGAAAATTTAGACAATCTATTTTTTAAGACGGAATCCCAAAAAAAGATTACACAAAGTTGATTTAATAATTTGGGATGAGGTCTCCATGATTTTCAAAGAAATCTTAGATACAGTACTCGGAACGTTGCGTGATCTATGTGTTACAAATATACAAACATACCTTTTGAAAACAAACTAATTGTTAAAGGGGTATTTTTTCCAAACTTTTCCTGTCATAAAAAAGAGTAATAAAAGTATTGTAGTAGCTGAGACTATTGAATCATAATTATTATAGATATTTTTTTGCATTTTGAAATTGAG